GTATAAACTCTTTAAGACTTCATATAGTTACAGACATTGTAAAACTATACAATGAGGTTAATAATATAAATCATTAAATCTTACCACCAGATCCCCTCGTACTCCGGCCTCTTCTATTGCTTCCCGTGTTGCTGCCTGCTCAGCCGTTTCATCAGTTTCCCACCCACCCTGTGTTTAAAAATAATGAAAAGGCATGATTACTGGGATACTCTTGATCTTTTGTTACGAAATTTTTTGCCACAGAATGAGAGAAATAAATCTTCTGAATCTGCATGTTAGAATGACATGGCACTGCTTTATTATACTCTCGTCATAGACATTCAAACTTATTACAGGGAGCAAAAATTTCTAGAAATCTCAGAGTCATTGACTTGCCAAATTATTTGAAATTTCATCACCAAATCCCCTGAAGAAGGGAAATATTTATCCACTTTCACCTTGTTATTAATTCATACGTGTTTCCAAATTTCAAAGAAAAATTACTCGTGTAACTGGACAGCGATGCCATTTGCCTAATATAAATTAGACGTACAAAAACAGGATCCATCTAAAAAACTTGTCTTTCTTCTAATTCCTTTTAAACAACGTAAATCAAGTGTCACCGCTGAAGGCCTTCAATTTATAGATTAAAAGAAAATTCACTGCTCAAAGAGACTAAAACAAACAAAATAATAATAATAAATAAATAAAATTCTCTCCAAACAATCCCAATGGCATATACTGATAGAAAAGTTTGCATTATTCTCCATCCAAATCACACTTCATATATTAGGTTTCCCAGCATTTTCTTTTTAAACACAAAAGCTAATCCACATAAATCTGGATACATGATAGAAGTGCATTGGGAAACGTATCCTTCTTTGTGCCACTAGGTAGCTAACAAATCATTTCACGACATCATGAGGACAAAGTGTCATGGCAGAGCATTTATTGTGAGAAATGCAGTGGTTATCTACAAGTACACTACACACATTTATTGAATATGGAACTCCAAAAAGTTAATAAAAAGGAGACATCCAAAGACTGCACGTGCCTTTTGGGTCCTCCGACATATGGGCTCAAATGTCAAAAGTATACATATATATTTACCAAAAATCTTGTAAAATACATATTTGTGGAGTCTTCTCTGAAAAATAACCACAGAATGCTCATCCATAAACAGATAAGAGAATGAAACAATGTCTAGAGAAATAATGATGCAGTTGAGAAATAATGATGCAGTAAAATATGGTTTATGCATCACTAATTTACTGAGCATAAACACATATACCCACAACTCTCACCTTTGGAAATAGAAGACCAGATCCGCTAGTTGAGTTGATCATTAGCACTTCAACAATCTTCTCCGATGTGTCGCCATCATTTTCTTTCGAATTTATGTACTTGAAGGGAATACACCTGAGCAATGAATCTACTGGTCAGAACTCACAGCATAGGCCAGTAATCTGCAGTTCTTTATGTTGGTGAAGTTAAAATTATAAAAGTCACATCATTTGGAAAAAAATAGAAACCCTTTTATTGGATGATTTAATACTTCCCAAAATTCCATTGAAACAAATGTTCCTCCTTGTCAAAGTCAAATATATGGATAATTAGAACAAAGAAAAACTGACATGAGAAACAAACGGAAAGAAGTAATGCTTTCTTCTTCACCCATGTGCATGATTATTCATCCATATAGAACATGGCAACCAACTCATAGAGATGAATATATTTCAATCCTTTCAGAAGAAATTGAAGAGGAATCAAAACAAATGTGGGCTACTGAGCACAACTAATACTTCAGTAGATGAAAAGGGTAGGCCGAACATTCTACCCTCCCACAAGGTCAAAATTTGCCATGTTGATGTAAGATCACAACAGCATGCAGCAGAAACGTTAATCTGCTTATTGTTCAGGCTTTGTTCTATTATAAGTTCACGTTTTGCACGTATGTCTTCCAAGTCTGATTCTTAATTAATTTACTTGAAGAGAGAACAGACAGACATCGAAACATAAAATAATACAATGATTAACAATTTTATGCTTCCTCATAGCCCTCTGTATTTTTTTCATCCACAGCATAACCGAACCCTAATAAACCCAAGTGAAAATCTTTGCCACTTGCATCTGGCCCAAACACTTGCTCACACAACTTTGACATAATCGTATCCACTCTCTCTGCCCTTTTCCCCATTCTTTTAAGCTTCTTGTTTTAACCTTAACACACTTTTTCCATAAGAATAGAACAGAACCTAGAGAAACTGGAGAAAATTTAAATTAAAGAGAAAGAGTGTCCCATTCCATTTCATTTCTATAAATCTTACTAGGTCTTAACAAATATATGATCCATAATCAA